GTGTAAAATATCACCTGAGTTTGGTTTAACCCGTAACACCACTCGCCTCACGCACATAAGTGACCAAAACAAAGCAGCATGGAGACACTCCATCTTCTACCACCTCTCAGGCAGCAGCCTGCACTCCCAAGTTCTACACGTCACCAGAACATAACCAACCGCAACACAATAAAAGCAGTGTTATACAAAATGGAAGGCCTGTAGTGTTTATTCTCTTACAGTAAGAATTTATCAATTTATTTGAGATTTTCTGGTTTTTGTTAATTGTGCAATAGAAAAATAATCATTAGATTAATTTTCTAAATAGTCATTAGAATAGTCGACTATTCGATAAAATAATCGTCAGAATAATCGTTTTAAAAATAATCGTTTACCCCCAGCCCTAGTGTGTTGGCCTTTTTATACTAGGAATCAGACCCTGATTGTGCCCTGAGCAATTTTATGACTGAATAAATAAACAAACATTTAAAATCAACATTCATTGAAAATTTGTCTTAAATAATCGAGATATCAATTTCAGTCACAACAATCGTGATTATCATTATTGCCATAATCGAGTAGCCCTAACTGATTACGATGTTGTTAGCCTTGACTCTCGTGCTATGTGCACATTCATTTGCTCTTCCTCTAAGCACCAGATTAAATGTCAGCCTTCCACGCTGACATCAGTAAACCATGAAATATAAAACTTCCACTGCATTAAAAGTGGGGGTTTTCATCAGTATACGACAATGTAAATTGCTGTGGAGGTTCAGGAAAACGGCTGTTCTTGTCAATCTACAAGTTTATGGGTAATCGCATGGAATTGGCCAGGAATTGATGAGGAATTTGTGTTTCAATCTCAAAGGCAATGGTAGGCCTTCCCCTCACCCCCCCTCCTCCCTGCTCCTTGCTGGTATTGGGTTTTGTTATGTGAGTGCCAGTGGTGGGGGCCATATGCATGCAAATCAGATGTTTTTAGTGAGGTCTGTAATCCTGAATTACGGGTTTCAATAAGTGTGTTTACATGCAGCCAGTAACCCTTTTAAAACCCGAATACTCACAATAACCCGGTTCCGCAGGTCCTTGTAAACACCGCCAAAAACCCGGATATGCTCAAAACCGGGTTTTTAAAAACCCGGTTACTACACCTGGGGTAACCCTTTTCTAACCCGAATGTTTGGTCATGTAAACGCATACCGGGATATCCCCATCAAAGCGTGTGTTCTGCGCATGCTCTGTTCGCAAGGAATCTTGGTCTTTTGAGTAGCGAGACGTCTTGTATGCGCCAGAACACCGGAAGTAAACAACAAGTTGGGAGCAAAGTGGCGAGTGACGAAGAAACTAAAGCACAAACAAACGCGGTCGCTATCTCTTCCAAACTGGGAAACATTGTTTTCAGGGATACCGGAACAAGAAGAACCGGAAATGAGGCATATTGCGTCTGGATGTAGTCCATACGTCCTGACGCTACCCCAATGTCGGCATTTAAATCGGGTTATGCAAGTTAGGGGTAACTCTTTCTATTTATGCTTGTAAACGGGTTATTCTGATCAACTCAGAAACCCGAATACCGACCTTAACCCGATCATAACCCGGATATTGGCTGCATGTAAACGTAGTCTTTGAGACATTCATCTTTGGAGAATATTCCTCTGTCAGGGCAGTTTTATTACTGTTTTTCAAACTACAAATCTCACACACACACGCCCTGTTTAAAGAATGGGGACATTGGGCAACTATAGCGGGGGTCCTTGGGTTCATTATATTGTCCAATCACGTTACAACGTAAGTCTAGTTCATCCAATCACGTACGAGGATGCTTGTGTGTGATCCTAATTGGCTGACAGTCTGGGTCCCGGAAGTTGAAAAGGAGACGCGGGAGCATGGCCAAAAAACTTTTTTGTAAACACTGGACAAAACGCCAAAGAAATGTTTCACCAACATCTCGATTTTTACCAAAACTCTACACGTCAGCGTCAGCAGGATAGTCCACGGAGCATTCCTGCAAGCCCAGCCAGCGCAAGCGGACAATAAAGTAGTGTTGTCCGCCATCAGTGGGTTGTCTCGCCAGATAACGTTATCCACAGAGCAGCTCCAGCAGAAACTTGATGCTGTGGAGGAGAGTCTTGTTTCTCTCGAAAAATGGATGACAGACCTAGAAAGCAGCCGGGACAACGATTCAGTGGCTGAAACCCACAAACGCAAGAGACGTTGCCACAACACAAAGCTTACGGTAAGAACAGCTCACAAAGTCACAGAGATGTTTACTGAGTTTAATGTGTGTTTGTGCTTTAAACTGACTTGTCTGATTGTTTTTAAAGGAAGCGGCCCGTCGTTTCCATAATGCAGAAACAAACAGCAGCCGCTACGAGCCGGAGCAAGGGTGAGAATTTTTGTTCAAATTTATTGGTGCTAACTGTTAAAATACTCATCGACCTTTCTCATTGCAGGCTCACAATCAAGCTGTTACCTCCGTCCTTGTCCAAGCTCTGAGAACAAATCCAGATTTTCAGAGTTTAGATAGCAACCAGATCATTTGTAAGTAACTCAAATTCCGTGTAAAATTTTGGTCTTAATATGTAAAAAAAAAAACTACATAATTTTAACATGTATTTTCTTTGTCCCAGCTTCTTGCAAGACATATTTTGAGACAGTTCGGAGAAATTATAGGTACAAGAAACCGGACCTTGCAGAGAAAGCCGTCTCTTCGAAGAATATTGCCAGGAGCCGACAAAGAAGAAAGCAAAACAAACTATCTCTTGTTTGTTTTTCGTGTCCAGCTATTAGCAGCGGGGATAAGTGTTGTGAGACTGGAAGAGCTGGAGTTTTGGACGGGTGTCACGCGGACCTGATGTCTGACGAGGATGGCACACAGGATGGTGTTTCTGGTTGGATTGTGCATCGTCCCGCATTTCGCAGCCAGGAGCTCAGTGACTTGTGCGGGGTGCTACAGAGTAGACAGGATACCTGCCCAAAGTATGCGGCATGACATCACCGCCGGCTGTGCTGTGGATTAGTGTCTGAAAGAGTGCCGCCACCTACCACCTATGATGCAGTTTCAGCTAAAAAGCATTTGAAGAAGGATTTGATGCCTCAAATGTAAAATAAACGTTTAAAATAAAGCATAATTCATCGTGGTTTTTTATTTTTTATTTTTTTATGCCGATGTGTAAATGTGGGTGGGGGCGGGGGGAGCTGCACCATAAGCAGCATAAGTGGGTGGAGGGTTAAACAGGTCGCATAATAATGAGCCAGAGTGACCAATGGTGAGGATATTACTGACCAGTCATCTATAATATTTAAAATGTATCTGGATTTTAAGTAGCATAAGGGTGGAGAGTCGCACAGTCTTCCATAATAATGAGCCACAGTGACCAATGGCGACCAGCTTACAGTCCGAGCATGATCAATGTTTAAATTGAATAGCACAGATCCAGCCAATCGCAGCTTTTTCCTGTAAAGGCCCGACACTGTTGTGCGACTCAAATGCTAATTATAACAATTCACATGTCAATTGTTCTATCCTCACCCCCTCGCCAAAGCTCCCCACCCCGCCCAACTGGTTCGTTTTCTGGAGTTCCTGGCAAGAATAACGGGAACACCACAGACTGTGAACTGTGTTTAATTGCTGGGAACTGAGAAGATCCACAGAATCTCACCGGGGTTTACATGCCCAGAAATCTAGTTTTTCTTCAAGTGTTCTGTGTTGACAAGTCATGAGCTAATATTGAATTTCATCAAGGATTAATGTTTGGTTTTCAAAAGACACGATTCATCACAGATTCATAATTCTGTGATTGATGCGACTCCCACAGAATATATAACGCTGTATGTTCTGTAAGGGAGATCACACATTTTTTTCCATCTTTATTAAAACTAGACATAAATGATTGGTGGAGAAGAGGATTTATAATCAACAAATGTTTATTGTATACTAGGTTTTATAGATATCGGCACTATCAGGACCATATCAGACAACCAGATAAATACACCTAATAAAGATGATCAACTGTTTGACTGCATCACAGCGGCAGACCCACTTATATACCTACATGGATCAAACGTCAGTATATGTACTAATAATGCAAATAATACACCGTTTGGAACTGTAAATAGATTGGAACAATCATTTAAAGGCTACAGAGGCTTATAATCTAATGTGCTAGTTGTTTTGTCTTCTAAGCATAATTGGATCCAGCATTGGCAGCCTATTCCAGAGTACTGAGCGGTTTATGCCAATTAATAAATGTGCATTGTTGGCTGCTGCATGGCATTCCTCCTGCAGCTCTGTGCTAATGATTTGAGCGCTTTAATGTCGACTGCCTTGAATAAAGAGCAGTAAGTCTGTTGTCACAGCGGCCCTAAAATCACCATCAGTCTTCTTCTTCCACATTCTTCCAGCTCCAGTGCTCTCTGGTGTTTCCCCTTGCTCGCTCTCATTGTGTGCCTGCCTTGCTGTCCTTTTCATTTTTCCTTTTCCACATAGGCCCACTGTCTCCTCATTGCTGTCACAGCATGTCAGAACAGGTGAAATCAATTACTGACCCACAGCGGCCTACTCCCTTACCACAACTAGCTTTCTAATTGAGGGAATTAATGAGCGATCAGTCTCTGAGATGATTTGGTGTCATGGATCTTGCTCTGCTGTATGCTAGGGAGGAAAGCTAGGGGGGGTTGGTGTTTGCTCTTCCTAGCATTTCTAATTCTGTTCTTCTACACAGGCAGTTAAGGCCGTTCACGCTCCCTCTCTGCCTTTCCTGCGTGCTAATCACCTTTAAGGTCGAGGAAAGACATTGCAGCACTTACAGCTGCATTGCCCTTTTTTTCTGTTGACAAAGTCTTTCAAGAGACACCAAAATGCCAGAACGTCTCTTGTGCTTTCAGCACTTTGTTCACTTCCTTCCACTGTGGCATCTGCTGGCCAAATCTCCAGATCAGCTATGTGTGTGATTATAAAGAGGTTCTGAAGTGTCTGGTGTGTCTCTTTTCTCTCTAAACCTCCTCGTCTTCATTCACAGATGGAATCTCCTGTCTCCACGCCAGCACCTCCCCCCCTCCACCTCCTGGCCACGGTCGGCAACAGTGAAATCGCCTTGCCATGCGAGCAGATAATGGTGCGCACACGTTCTGTGGCGGTGAACACATCCGACGTGGCCCTGGCGACAGAACCAGAGTGCTTGGGACCATGCGAGCCCGGTACCAGTGTTAATCTCGAAGGCATCGTGTGGCAGGAAACTGAAGATGGTAAGAGAAGTAGCATCACATAATACTTAGAAAAACATGTTTTATGTTATTGGACACAATCTGTAGAACGGTTGAGACGGTTAAGACACAAGGACAGTTCTGCATTTTTATGCTTTAGTTAAACTTCTTTCCTTTCAAAACCAATCATTTTTCTGCTGTCATTACGTATTTTTCTCCCAAAATATAATTTGATACACCCAGATTGCCTCAGGAAATGGTGGTGGTACCCATTTATGCTTTAACAGCACACATGCTGCTTAATATTGCCAAGAAGGATAGTAGTTGGCAGCCAGCTCATAGGTGGCCTTGATTTGTTTTTTTCCTGCTCGGGAGTATGCAGACGGGAGTTTGTTGCACAGAGATATCGACTCGAAAAACATGCCTCATAACAAAGTACTTTTTTTTTTTTAGCCTGCCAGTTGGGAATAGAGTTGGCTCGTTTCCTGCGGTGCAATTCCAGTGAAATCTTAGGCACTCAGTTTCCCAACCTTTGATAGAAACCACATTGAGCTGATTAAATTTTTAGATGTATCAGTATCATTATCAGGTTCTGCTGGATCTGAAAGACTCCCCCCTTTTCTGTTGTGCATGTGGAATAATGCAAACACTGAATCTTCAAAGCAGCTCGCGCTCACTCGCTCTGCGGGCATGCTGAGTACAAATCGCCCACACATCCACACTGCTGCTTGTTGGTTCACTTTGAGGAACCAAACAGAAAAAAAAGCTCCCTGCCTCATCAACATTCCCACAACACAGTCCCTGCCATTGAGTGGCTTTCCTCCCCCTCTATCCTGTTTTTGATTTTTGCTCCAGCTCTGAGCTGTGTTTGATTCCCTCCTATTCTCCTCTGTACTGCAGCTCTTTTCTGGTACCAAGCATCCAGCCAGTTACCCCTTGACTCTGTTTCCAGGCAAACTGGGAGAGAGTGAGTGCATGGCGAAGGGTGGAGGGCTGGGTTGTGGGAGACAAGGCCACTTCTGTTAGTGACAAAAACATGGCTCAGTGCCAACTCCAGTACTATGTAGTGCTCTCTCTTTCTGCCTCCCACTGAGTGATTGAGCCTTCCTTTTGCCCTCCCCCTTTCCCCCAACCAAGTTTGTCCTTTTCCTGCACTCACCCTGGAAGCTGGCATTTTGGCTGAAAGAGGTGGTGGTTTGGTCTGGTGGAGCTGTGTTTCCCTGTGATTCTGCTCTGTCTGGCTCAGTAGGGAGGAGGGCGGTGGGTGCTTTTGAGTGGTTTTAAAGTGATGTGGTGGAGAGAGAAGGTGGGGGTGTTTGCAGGAGGGGAAAGTGTGTGTGTGTGTGTGTGTGTGTGTGTGTGGTGGGGGGTGGGGGGTGCCCTGCAGGTGTAGCACACAGGTTGTTATGGCTGTCGGAGCTTTAGAGTAAGATTACAAGTGCACTCTCTTGGAAGGCTCTTTTAAATCAAAGTGGAAACATGTTCAAGCTGATAAAATGATTTATATTTGTTTCATTATTCACTTAGGAATAAAACATGAAAGGAGCAAATAGAGAAACCTACTTTTGGAACAACTTTCTGAATTTTACACTCAGAGGAGCAGAGAAGCCAGAAACCAAATACCAACTAACTTTAAGTTATAGCTGTCAAAAGGCGCAGTTGTTCTTAACGGCGTTTCAAAAACATGCATGAATTAGCTTTGCTGTAATGTAAAGAAGCGGCTTGTTTAAAACTGCTCCTGTGAGTGGCCTTTCCATCTTACACCATGAGTTATACACCATTAATTGTGGTAGGATTTTTTACCTGACTGGTTGGCTGCTTCCTAAATCAAACAGTTTGTACTTTTCTAAATTGTCTGATGTGCAATCTCCGACTTCCTCAAAGCCGTTAATTGTCACTTTTACTTTTCCTGGGATACAAGAGTGCTTCTTATTTTTGCAGCAAAGGGCATTCTCAATACTTTCTGTTGTAATGTATTTTGCACACTTTATTAACCAACACAACAATATGTTCTGTGTTCCCTCTACATCATTTTAATGGTACAAGCTCTTTAAAGCCTGCTGGCTGCCTTCAGAATGAAAGTGACCTAGTTGCTGTTTATATCTCACTGTCATTCAGCTGCTGTTGTCTGAACAAATGAGAGCAAACCCACTCAGAAGAGCAGGAAAACATAACAAACAGAAGCACCAGAGATGGAGCAGAAGCATCCTGATTAGCGGTGAAGCTAAACAGCCCCCCCCCCCCCACCTTCCTCCATGACAAGTCTCATACAGAGCTGTTTAGGCATCAAAGCACTGTTTGTGCGTATCGTTTAGCATGCCAACCAACAGCTGCTTCATCACCTCCGCCTTTCAGCCTTGTGGGAGTGAACGAACAACAAGCTCCTGTAATTGTCTGCATCTCACCCAGCTCACAGAGAGCCAGGGAAAGAAAGGGATGAGGAGGAAGCTAGCAACACATAATGAAAAGTGATCAAAGAAGCTGGACCCGTGGTCAGAGCTGACAAGATTCTTGGCTGATGAGGACAAATCCCATTTTTTCTTGTGGTGTGTAATTTGAGTCTTTGAGTTGCCAAATTTGGATAACCAATTGACTTGATAGAAGCCAAAATGTGTCTCAGGTCGCTGCGTCAACTAGATAACCTCCATACTTCCTAAGAAATGTAAAATTAGATTGGTGTAGACCTTTGTTGGAGAAGAATGTGGGTGAGAGTTTCTGTTAGGCTGTCAGTCTGGGGGCAAGCAAAGCCTGTACAGCAGGAGGAGGTGGGGGGTCAGAGCCGTGGTATTTTAAGGCCCGTCACTGAGATGAGTCCCCTCAGAGCAAACGAGACAGTGGCAGCTCCCAGGGTCGTGTCGACAGAGCGATGTGCCCAACCCCTCCCAGGCTTAGCATGCTGATACCTCCAAATGCCATCTCCGACATGCAGGAGAAGTTTATTGCTCTTGAAATGCAGCCCAGAACGCCTTGGCTCCTGCTCCAGGGCAGAGGGAACACAGAGGGGGGCCCCTTTAGCCAAACACTGCAGCTCCATGCCAGTGGCAGCACACACACACACACACACACACACACGCACACGCACGCACACGCACACGCACACACGCACACGCACACGCACACACACACAGAGCAGTTCACAGCAGGCTATTCCTAGAACAGGTCTCATAGCTTCTTATGCTCCCTATTAGATAAATAATATAGGCTGTTTGTGATAAATGTTTGTCTCATGGATTATTTATGCAACACCCATCTGCAGCACTGCAAACTGTGACTTTAGGGTGACCATAAAAAGCTTTTTGGTATTTGCCTAGAAAAGGTATCCCTTAGATTTCCCTTTATTTGTGTTTTATTTTTTCCCTATTTTATTGCCTCAAATCTGTCAGGGAGTTGAATACTGTAGAAACTGGTACTTATCTCTGTAACACACTTGCTAGCTATGCTTTCCTGCTCTTTTGAAGATCACCTGCCAGTGGCCTCACTGAATTGTTTTTCCAGAGCTGAGCGGTAGCTACTCTCGGTAGAAACTGTCCTTGAAATTAGAGTGAGTGTTGTCAAAGAGGGCTGTAACTGTCAGCCAGGCCAATGAGCAAGAAGGAGACGGAGTGAAAAATCAATCACATAAGAGCTGTTTTTGTGAACAGCTGCAGATAGATCCAAAAGGAAAGAGAAAAAAAAATGCAACTCTTTCTTTTTCCCCTCTCTCCTGTCTGTACACATTGGATTTGAATTTCCTAGTAATTTTTTCTAACAACTTACAAAACCATTTTTCACCCCCAGAAATGCTTACTATTTGAAAGTGGAAGTGGCCAGTTTCCAAGCTAAAGAGAATGCTCATGCTGCTCTGATAAATCTGAGGTTGAAACGATTGTTAAAGGCCATCTTTCATGTTCTTTAAAGTGGCAAAAAAGCATTATCTAATGTAAAAAAGTTACTTTGATTATACTCCTAGGTTTCCATACAACTAGCAGGTGTTTAAAAATACTAAATAAAGGGATGAGAGGAAGCGCCCCCGAAAACCGCACAGTTTTAGTGTCACGTGACACGTGACATGCCCAGAGGCAAACGAGAGGACAGCGACAAATCGGTCATTTTTAGTTGCTGAGGTAAAACCAAGTAAACTAGTTCAAATATGGTTAATGTTTGTGTATGTGGAGATTGTACAAACTCAAGTTTGTCTGGACATCGTGTTTTCCGATTCCCAAAGCAGAAAAACCCAGCTTTCCGTGCTTGGGTGAGATTTGTTGGAGTAAAAAGGCAGGAATTTACCAGCAGTAGAGTCTCGAACAACTCCGTGATTTGCGGTGTGCATTTCCGCGAGGAGGATTATATCGAGAGAGACTTGATTGAACACAGTATGGGGTTCAGAAAAATGGACAAAACCAGACTGAAATCCACTGCAGTACCATCGATACATGGAAAAGGCCACAAGGGAGAAAGACCGGGAGCAGCCGCGCCGGAACAACGACAACAATGGTGGCTCCTTCCAGTAGCAGAAGAAAATTAAACATGCTCTTACCAGTTAGCATTTCCAAGTCTGTGTGCATTTTGAAGTAACCACGTTTCTGTAGCTCTTCTTTCACCATTTAAATTGGCTCTGTTTTGCCTGTTCTCATTCCGTCTTGCTGCTGGCTCAAACCTGTATGGCTGTGCACCTTCAGTATTATAAACTGTAAATTCGTGTTCAAATTCTGATGCCTCATCCTGCTGAGTCGGAAATGTTTTCCTCCGTGTGCATCACTTCCGGTTTCCAGCTAGAGGTGCCGTTTTAAACCGGATTAGCTAGGTAAGCAGAGTTGGATCATTAATAACTTGTTTTATTTTCAAATATCTTCCTTTATTCAATGAAAATATAAAGTTTAGGCATATTACTATATAAGCACTTCAACATGTGTTTAAAATGAAAGATGGCCTTTAAAGAACTTCAGATAGTCGTGGATCTCTGATCCTGGGGGCGAGAAAGCTTGACTTGTTAGTCGCACATTTAGTCCCAGAGTGGTGTTGGCACAGTGGTGCCTGAATTAACCCAATTCTCATAAAAGAGA